CTATCAAGAGCAGATAACTCTGCAATACGAAAAGACGGAATATCAGCATTGTGTTCACATTTACATTTTGTTGTTTTCCTTTTACAATTTCACCTTGATTCAAATCACTATTCACTTACGTAAATTACCCGGCATGACTGTGATATCATTACCTGTAGTCCTAGCTGGTATTATTGGAAACTTAATTTTGGCGTGTAAGTGCTGTCGTTATTGCAAAATAGTTATAGCTTACAAAATACTGGCAGCAAGCAATGGTGAATCTGATCCAAAATTTGAAGTTTTAGGTTTGGGTTAGAAACTTGGAAGGTAGATGTAGGTAGGAAAAAGTGTTTTATTTAGTTCTACAAATGTAACTTTCTTTTTCTTCAATTAAACACTTTAAAAACATTTGATAATTTACATTGATAAGGTACACTGTCAGATGACTTTTCTTATCTTTTGGTTAAAGCAGACACAATGGCATGGATGACTGACTAAATTACTGGAATTTAAAACCTCAATTTTAAAGATATTATTTGAAATTCAAGATTTCATTCAAATAATTTGAGCAGGGTTTTTTGGAAGTCAGTCAGATTATGGCAAACAATTAATATTTTATCTTGGCCTTATTTAAGTAGTCAAAAGATGATTTGGTATAACTTTGTATGGTAGCTCTGTAATCAATAGGGTAACTTATTTACCTTTCTTATCAAACATCCATGTTTTTTGACATCCTGTCATATTTAACATGCAGTTGTTTTGTTTCATTACAAACTGACATTAAAAACTGACAAGAGATTTAACTACATATATTCCCATAAAATATACTACAAGATATATATTACTTCATTGATGTGAGACAGGCAAAAACTTCTGACGTAAACGATTTTGACACATTCAGCTTATACTCATTGGTGGTATGTATAAAGTACACATGCAAAATTAAGGATATATGTTATTTGTTCAGCTAAAAGGAACGAAAATATATCTAATACTAATATTTGGTAACTTGTCTGTTTCTTTGCTTTATTTTTTATATATTGTTTTATAAACACAGGTAACAGCAGGCAAAGGAAACAATCTGCATGAAGTGGAATCTCAAAATCAAGACAAGTTCTTGGTCAGCATGCCAACTAAGTTTAGGAAAAATGTGTGGATAAAAAGAGGTAAGTCAGCATATAGTTCAGTTGTTTCCCTTGGACTGCCATTATTATACAGTTTGTGTGCTTACGCTACTTAAATATCTATAGGTTTGTTTATTGATCAAACCAGTCTTTATAAAAAAAATGTCAATTTAAAACTTGAATTTATTTAAACATATGTTCTCTGTTTCTTTTTGATGTTTTAACTGACTTTAAGTCAAATTGTTGAACTTAGGAATGTCTAGTGGTACATTCAATTGTGCACTTGCCTGACAACAAGGCTGCAGCTGCACTTACATCCAAACAAACACGAGTAATAAGTATGAACTGGAATAATTTGTTTCATTATTGTAACAAACTTAATAAACTCAGAAGTTCATAAATAATTGATGGATTTACAACAACCATAACTTTAACATGACAAATACTTTACAATTGTTTCAACGCAAATGTATATTACATCATATCAATATTTAGAGGTATAACACACGCATGTGCTCATACCTTCTTTCTAAATATGGTTAAATGTACATTGTAGGAGACTTTGTCCTGGTACAGCCTATTGAGGAGGGAGACAAAGTTAAGGCGGAGATTGTAACAATTTTGTACAAAGAGCAAATTAAGTACATCAAGAGCGAAGGACTGTGGTATGTTTGTGTTTAAATAGTAAAAAAGATTAATTTGCACATCATCCCCCCCCCAACTGGAATTTACATGTAGAGTATGAGTAAGCCATGCTAGGTCTAGGTGTCCTGGTAGTAACGGTGATTATCAGACTTACCACTCGGACAACTGTCCTGACTGTGTGAAAATTATAAAGAATGAGGAGAATTTAAAACCACACCCATTCTTGTTCTAAGAGGGTAAAGTAATCACAGATAAATACAGAAATCTGTTTCTTAAACTTTGTGTTGAATAGAACAATTGATAAAACTTAAAACATATTTTAATTTAAGCACTGTTTGAGTACATGTAGATCTAGAGTGAATAATACCAATCCTGTCACTGGGCACAGGGCCTTGTTTAAATTAAAACCCGATGAACCTTATTATATCCCCTGCAATGAAGTTCTTAAAAGTCTTGAATCAGATTTTCTCGCATCTCGAACAAAGATATCCCATGTCACACCCCATGCTAGATTTTTCGATCTCATCCAATCTGTCTGGTACGTATACCTTTACGGAACATTTCAAAGAATTTTTACACAGCAATGTATTCATGCTTTAATGGCTCGAAATTAACAATCTGCATCATAATATTCTGTTTTCTCTCAGGCCGGCTGTGTTTGAAAACAGTGAGGAGACTAAAAGCAACAGTATGATTTCTGACGACCTCCTGCCTCCCAGCGACGACTCTGACGAGGACAATACATGTGACAGTGTTATGAACATTAACAGGAAGCAGGTCGCTGTGTACGACGAGAGCGATGAAAGTGACGATGAAGACGGCTGAGATGGATCTCAACAAGTCTTTTAATTTTGACTCCTACTTATTTGAACACCGGGACAATATCAATGTAATGATATACAATGTAGCATGTATTTGATACACATATCATATGTGCAAAAACAACACATGATATTGCCAATCATATGTGC